GATTTGTCCTCTGATTAATATTTAGACCTACAGACTGTAGAATAATATTATAAATGTATTTGGTTTGATTGTATGGGGCCCTTGAATATTGTTGCCCAGGGTACATGGAAGTGTTAATTCGGCCCTGGACAGGAGCACTTCAGGAGCACTTCAGAGACCAATCAGATTTCAGCTGGAGCAAATGCCCCAGTAGCCCACCCCGAACTGCAATCAGATCTGCAGTGTCTCATGATTTAAACAAAATTATCATGTCAACACAGGAAGTTGCAACATCGATGATTGGATCCTTGGTCTTCAGCTCACAAAAACACATCAGATTACTGTGAATCACAATCTTTCCAGTTGTTGTTGCAACTTYCTGTGTTGCCTCACAATTTGTGCTTCAGTGAATTTTCATTGTGATTGGTGGATCTAAACAAAACACGCCAGCTTAGTGAGGCTAAATGGGTAAACATTTGTTGTAAAGAATTGAAATGTCAAACTAAGAGGCGTGTCTTTACCACCACTAAAATCCACAACATTAGTAAAATATGACCCCGCCCCCAAGTCCAGGTGGCTGTCTATCATCACAGTGAAGCACGAGGGTGGCAGCATCAGGATGTGGCAGGAACTGAAAAACTAGACAGTTTTCCAGCAGCAGAGAGCGAATAGGTTCTATTTTGATTCATTTTGCATTTTGTTTTTCTTACAATAAAATAATATAGTTAACAGTGATCTGAAATGACTTGCTGAGAAACAAATAGTGTTTTATTTGAATGTACGCATGAATTCAGAAATGATAAACTGAAATGTAATGTTCAAATAAAGTTGGAAGAATACAAATAAACAGATGAGCTGTTAATAAGAATAACATGAGATGTTTCAGAAATACCCGTCAGCCTTTTATTAGTGTAATAAAACAAATGTGCAGAAAGAAATGTAAAAAGTGACAAAAAATTCTATCAAAAAATGAATGAACAAAGTTAATAAATTTGAAATTCTGAACTATCTACCACMGGGTGAAAAAATATGTAAATCCATTGATAAAATAAGAAACCTGAGCCAATAGAACTTTTAGGTTTACTTGTGGCTTGTTTACTTGATTTGTTTTTATTTTATATTCAGGTCAACAACAACAAAAAAACCCAAACATGTTCACTGTCAGAACGTTTACGTCTGTTTATAATGGATAAAATTCACTCAGTAAAACCTGAATGTGTTTTAAACACATTCCAGACATTCTGATGAAATGATGAACAATTAATATCTTACCTGTTGTAGATGACTCTTCAATCAACCTTGATTTGGACAAATAGTTTAATTCTGACAGGACTGATGAGCTAACAGCTAGTCGGAACGTTGCCTAMGACCAAAGTGGATTGTTTTAGACATAAAAATAGATCCAAACTGTTCAGGAAAACACTTATATAAACCTTTACATCATTATTGATTCTGTTTTCCACAGTTCCTAAACTCCAGACATTCTTGTAAATATCAGCATAATGAAAAACTGACATCAGAGAACCTCTTTGATCTCATCAGTCAACTCAGGATTAAGCTGTTTCTTAAAACTGAGCTCAAAGAGTTGTCTGCAACATGTAAGATATTAACTTTTTATWCATTTTTCACAAAATCACTTAAAAATGGCTGGAATATTTTTTTAAAGTAAAAAAATTCTTAATTTATTTTAAAAAGTTACAATTAATATATTTTGTAGTTGATTAAACATAAATATATACATTTTTAGGACAAAAATCATCAATGATGAGATGAAAACAATAATTTTTAAAATATGAAACTAATGAAGTGCTTTTATTCAGAGTTGCATGTTTACAGTAAAAAGACAGTAAAGTTTTTTCTATCATACAATCTTTATGAGTCCGAGAATGAATATTTTAATAAACAATAAAAATGTTTCTGAATAAATAACATCTTTAAATACCTGAACGCAAAAACTGAATTTAATTTCTTGTATTTTTCTTTCAGAAACAGAACTTTGTGTGCTTCAAATGTTTCATCCAAATCCTCACTGGCAACATTTTCAGTTAAAAAAAATAGCAACAGTTTGGTGGATCTTGTGGGATTGCTCCTCCACTGGGAGTCATTTGTGAAGTCAGTATGGTTTAAACTGGACCTGACAGTCCCTCTGTCCACACAGGACAGGACCTGGTTTCCAGCTTCCAGAAAGACGACCTWCGAACACCAGAGCTCGTCTCCAGCTCACTGGGTCTTACTGCTCGCTTGTGTTTCCGTCTCAGGGTCAAACTCAGTCAGGCAGCAGTAGAGCAACATCTGGGTGTATCTGGTGGCGAGGTCTTGGAGTAAGGAAAGAGAAGGGGTGAAAGAAGGAAAAAACAATGAGAAGACACRGGGAGCATGCTCAGGGGGGCACAGTTACTCAAAGCCAACAGCTTAGGGGTCAGACATCCCTGGGTGGGGGTGGGGGGCATTGCTCACTGATGGTAGGTGAGACACTGTATATAACAGAACAAGTTATGTTATCTTTTACCTTTAAAATTTGTATAGTTTGTTGCATTGAATCATAAACTTGAAATTTACTATTGATTTAAAATATTTTTTTTTATTTAAATGTGGAAATGTTTTTCAAAAACATGTATTTTTATATAACAAACACAAACATTTAATACTTTATAAAGATTTCATTTTGTTCTTGCTAACAATGAATTGTTATACACCAGAGTTAGTCATGGAGTTCCGCAGGGTCCAGTGCTCGGATCAATACTTTCCTAATATAGGCTTTCATTATGCAAAGTTATTAAACAGTAGTTGATAAATTGTCATTGTTGTTCTGATCTTCAGTTATTGTTCCCCATCACAGATTGAATAGGAAAGATTATGGAAATACGTTTTGTCTGTGAGCTCTGATAACTTGTCAGACAAGTGAAGTACAGACTTCCATTTTGGTGAGTGGCTGTATCTACACAGTATCTGTAAGCAATGTCTCTACAAAAAATCCAAGACTGCCTATGTATAGAGTGGGGTGCGAAGGTTTGGGCAGCCTTGTTAATTTTCCTTATTTACCTTTATAAATCATTGATTGTTTGGATAAAAAAAACTATCAGTTTAATATATCATATAGGGGACAAACAGTGATATTTGAGAAATGAAATGAAGTTGATATGATTTACAGAAAGTGTGCAATAATTGGTTAAACAAAATTGGGCAGTTGCATAAGTTTAGGCACAAAAAAACCTCTTAATATTAAGTAGATCCGCCTTTGGCAGAAATAACAGCCTCTAAATGCTTCGTATAGCCTCTAATGAGTGTCTGGACTGTGGCTGAAGATATTTTAGACCACTCTTCTTTACAAAACATCTCTAGTTCATTCAGGTTTGATGGTTTCTGAGAATGGACGGCTCTCTTTAAGTGACACCACAGATTTTCAATAATATTCAGGTCTGGGGACTGAGATGGCCATTCCAGAACGTTGTACTTGTTTCTCTGCATGAATGCCTTAGTGGATTTTGAGCAATGTTAAGAGTGGTTGTCTTGTTGGAAGATCCAGCCCCGGCTTCAGCAGCTTCAGCTTTGTTACTGATTCCTGGACATTGGTCTCCAGAATCTGCTGATGTTGATTAGAATCCATGTGTCCCTCAACTTTAACAAGATTCCCAGTCCCTGTACTGGCCACACAGCCCCACATCATGATGGAACAACCACCAAATGTTACTGTAGGTAGCAGGTGTTTTTCTTGGAGGGCTGTGTTCTTTTGTCTCCTTGCATAACGATCCTCGTTCTGCCCAAATAACTCTATTTAGTTTCATTAGTCCACAGCACCTTATTCCAAAATGAAGCTGGCTTGTCCAAATGTGCTTTAGCATACCTCAAGCAGCTCTGTTTGTGATGTGGGCGGAGAAAAGGCTTCCTCTGCATCACTCTCCCATACAGCATCTCCTTGAAGACTTTCAATGAGGTCAAGCAGCTACTTCGTGGCATTAAAGTGGTCAGACATCCAGACTTTGATTTCTGGTTTGTTTGGTTGATTCCTGGTGTCAAACTGGCTTTACCACTGCTGAGAGACGCTGAGTCAGAGACAGACACCGACAGTGAAAGACTGCTATGCTAAAAAGCACCACAAAACTTTAGTTTTCAAAACCGTCTCCTCCGTACACCTGCTCCTGTTTTCAGGAGACAGGGTGAGGTTAGACGTGGGGTATCATGGCATTTAATTTCTGCTTTGCTGGTGGTGCTTGGCAATTTTTATGTTTGGGAATTTCTTTAAC